ATATACGACACAAGACACGCATAGGAACACACAGGAACACACACACGGAAATGCGCTCATGTCAAGCCATAACACACACAAAGCTCAACACACCATACAAGAGACACACACACACATACACACACACACACACACACACACACACACACACATACACACACACACAAGACAACTTAGACACATCCCACACAATATTCACACAGACAGATATAGCTCAACACATCACACAAGAGACACAAACACACACACACACATCCCACACAATATTCACACAGACAGATATAGCTCAACACAACATACAAGAGACACACACACACACATCCCACTCAATATTCACACAGATAGATATAGCTCAACACAACATACAAGAGACACATACACACACACACACATCCCAGACAATATTCACACAGATAGATATAGCTCAACACAACATACAAGAGACACATACACACACACATCCCACACAATATTCACACATATAGATATCTCAACACATCATACAAGAGACACAAACACACACAACAAACAGAACAAACAAAACACACACATCACAACACACAAAACACACAGCACAACACACAACACACATAGCATAGAACACAGCACAACACACAGGAAAACACACGCAGCACAACACACAACACAAAGCATAACACATCAAAACACACACAGCACAACACATCAAGACACACAGCACAATAAACAGACACAGCACAACACACAACACACAGTACAACACATCAAAACACACACTGCACAACACATCAAGACACACAGCACAATAAACAGACACATCAAAACACACATCACAACACACAACACACACAGTACAACACATCAAAACACACAGCACAACAGACAGAACAAAACACAACACACACATCACAACACACAAAACACACAGCACAACACACAACACACGCAGCACAATACGCAACACACACAGCACAACACACAGCACAGCACACAACACGCACAACACAGCACACAACACACACAGGACAACACATCAAAACACACAGCACAACACATCAAGACACACAGCTCAATAAACGGACACAGCACAACACACAACACACAGCACAACACATCAAAACACACAGCACAACACATCAAGACACACAGCACAACACATCAAAACACACAGCACAACACATCAAAACAGACAGCACAACAGACAGAACAAAACACAACACACACTTCACACCACACAAAACACACAGCACAACACATCAAAACAGACAGCACAACAGACAGAACAAAACACAACACACACAGCACAACACACAAAACACACATCACAACATACAACACACACACACAGCACAACACACACAGGAAAACACACAGAATAACACACAACACACAACAACACACATCAAAACACACAGCACAACACATCAAGACACACAGCACAATAAACGGACACAGCACAAACACAAACACACAGCACAACACATCAAAACACACAGCACAACACATCAAGACACACAGCACACAATAAACAGACACAGCACAACACATCAAAACACACAACACACACAGCACAGAACACAGCACAACACACAGGAAAACACATAGCACAACACACAACACACAGCATAACACATCAAAACACACAGCACAACACATCAAGACACAGAGCACAATAAACAGACACAGCACAACACATCAAAACACACAGCACAACACATAACACACACAGCACAACACATCAAAACACACAGCACAACATACAGCACAAAACACAACACACACATCTCAACACACAAAACACACAGCATAACACACAACACACAAAGCACACAACACAGCACAACACAAAGGAAAACACACAGCACAACACACAACACACAGCATAACACATCAAAACATACACAGCACAACACATCAAGACACACAGCACAATAAACAGACACAGCACAACACACAACACACAGTACAACACATCAAAACACACACTGCACAACATATCAAGACACACAGCACAATAAACAGACACAGTACAACACATCAAAACACACAGCACAACACACAACACACACAGCACAACACATCAAAACACACAGCACAACAGACAGCACAAAACACAACACACACATCAAAACACACAAAAACACAGCACAACACACAACACACACAGAACAACACGCAACACACACAGCTTAACACACAGCACAACACACAACACACACAACACAGCACACAACACACACAGGACAACACACAGCACAACACATCAAAACACACAGGACAACACACATGACACACAGCACAACACACAAAACACACCGAAACACATATGCAACAAAAATGCACAAATATACGACACAAGACACGCATAGGAACACACAGGAACACACATTAATCGGAAATGCGCCTCATGTCAAGAAGCCATAACACACACAAAGCTCAACACACCATACAAGACACACACACACACACACACACACACACACACACACACACACACACAAGACAACTTAGACACATCCCACACAATATTCACACAGACAGATATAGCTCAACACATCACACAAGAGACACAAACACACACACACACACACATCCCACACAATATTCACACAGACAGATATAGCTCAACACAACATACAAGAGACACACACACACACATCCCACTCAATATTCACACAGATAGATATAGCTCAACACAACATACAAGAGACACATACACACACACACACACAATACCCTAATAATAATATTCACACAGATAGATATAGCTCAACACAACATACAAGAGACACATACACACACACATCCCACACAATATTCACACATATAGATATCTCAACACATCATACAAGAGACACAAACACACACAACAAACAGAACAAACAAAACACACACATCACAACACACAAAACACACAGCACAACACACAACACACATAGCATAGAACACAGCACAACACACAGGAAAACACACGCAGCACAACACACAACACAAAGCATAACATATCAAAACACACACAGCACAACACATCAAGACACACAGCACAATAAACAGACACAGCACAACACACAACACACAGTACAACACATCAAAACACACACTGCACAACACATCAAGACACACAGCACAATAAACAGACACATCAAAACACACATCAAAACACACAACACACACAGTACAACACATCAAAACACACAGCACAACAGACAGAACAAAACACAACACACACAGCACAACACACAAAACACACAGCACAACACACAACACACGCAGCACAACACGCAACACACACATCACAACACACAGCACATCACACAACACGCACAACACAGTACACAACACACACAGGACAACACATCAAAACACACAGCACAACACATCAAGACACACAGCTCAATAAACGGACACAGCACAACACACAACACACAGCACAACACATCAAAACACACAGCACAACACATCAAAACACACAGCACAACACATCAAGACACACAGCACAACACATCAAAACACACACTGCACAACATATCAAGACACACAGCACAATAAACAGACACAGTACAACACATCAAAACACACAGCACAACACACAACACACACAGCACAACACATCAAAACACACAGCACAACAGACAGCACAAAACACAACACACACATCAAAACACAAAACACACAGCACAACACACAACACACACAGAACAACACGCAACACACACAGCTTAACACACAGCACAGAACACAACACACACAACACAGCACACAACACACACAGGACAACACAGAGCACAACACATCAAAACACACAGGACAACACACATGACACACAGCACAACACACAAAACACACCGAAACACATATGCAACAAAAATGCACAAATATACGACACAAGACACGCATAGGAACACACAGGAACACACACACGGAAATGCGCTCATGTCAAGCCATAACACACAAAAGCTCAACACACCATACAAGACACACACACACACATACACACACACACAAGACAACTTAGACACATCCCACACAATATTCACACAGACAGATATAGCTCAACACATCACACAAGAGACACAAACACACACATACATCCCACACAATATTCACACAGACAGATATAGCTCAAGACAACATACAAGAGACACACACACACACACATCCCACACAATATTAACACAGATAGATATAGCTCAACACAACATACAAGAGACACATACACACACATACACATCCCACACAGTATTCACACAGATAGATATAGCTCAACACAACATACAAGAGACACATACACACACACATCCCACACAATATTCACACAGATAGATATCTCAACACATCATACAAGAGACACAAACACACACAAGACAACTCAGATACATCTCACACAATATTCACACAGACAGATATAGCTCAACACATCATACAAGTGACACACACACAAGACAACTCAGATACATCTCACACAATATTCACACAGATAGATATAGCTCAACACATCATACAAGTGACACAAGCACACACACATACACATCCCAAACAATATTCACACAGATAGATATAGCTCAGCACACAATACAAGAGACACATACACACATATATACCACACAATATTCACACAGGTAGATATAGCTCAACACAACATACAAGAGACACAAACACACACATGACAACTCAGATACATCTCACACAAAATTCACACAGACAGATATAGCTCAACACAACATACAAGAGACACAAACACACACACACACACACACACACACACACACACACATTAAGGATTGTGCCTTTGTCTGTTTTATGCTATCACAACAATTAAAGAAATAACAACTGTAAAAGCCACGAGTCTCTTAAAAGAGAATGTATTCAGACGTATTCTGTATTGCAATACATTTTACTATACGCCAGTCTGTAATAGATATAGAGAACTGGGATACCATAAACATATTATAATCGCTTGTTGATACATTTGATTATTTTCTCCATCTGAAATCACTGCTCATATTTTGTTAACGTCTTAGAAACAACAACTGTAAAAACGAGTCTGTCATCGTTGACAACAAGGGTAACACCAGAATCAAAAACAACGAGTCTGTCATCGTTGACAACACCAACATCAGAATTAACATCCCACTTCACTGCTTCGGCTGGTATCCCAGGCTCTACTCCTGACGCAACTACTGAGTCGACAGCCCCTGACACGGATACAAGCAGTGCTGGGTATAAAACGGAAAGCAGAACCCAGGACTCGGTAAATCCCCAAACACCATCTGTGACTTCCATGACAACCATCCTAGGTGGAACTGTTGGTGGCGCACTGGTCCTACTGGCTGCTATCATCACCGTTTGCTGTTTACTTCGATCAAAGAAAGAAAAACAAAACAATGGCTGTAAGTACTGTATTGTGTACCAGGGAGTGATGGAGCGAGTTTTGTTTAATGATGCTTCCAAAAGGATTTCACAGGTTACTTGAGTTTCATATGAGGTGTATGGGTTGTGTCCAACGCCACTTTTAGCAGTGTTCAAGTTGTTTCACGTCGTGTCAGCTTCATGTGTGTGTGCGTGCGTGCGTGCGTGCGTGTGCGTGTGTTTGTGTAAGTGTGTGTGTGAGAGGCCGAGGTCATGTCTGTCATGGAGGTCATGTCTGTCATGGACGTTTATCACTTTGGTGAGTACAGGTACTGTCACACCTACACATTTTAGGGTGAACATCTAGGATTCGGACCCACAATTCTGGGTTTCACAGTCCCGAGATCTAGTGACACAACCCTGCCACCAGTGCCACCTTTAAGTAAGAGGCAGTGCAGGTAAATGATGGAGGTGTAAATGTCAACGAGGAGTGGGAAAAGTGATTGATGTGTTTTGGTTTAATGCTAATTTAAAATGGATTTCAATTTTATCAGTGTGTCAGATTATTGTGGATTAAGGCCTCAAGTTATGTCTGTCTTAGACGTTTTCCACTACGTTGAAACCGAGCTCAGGCTTCCGCCGACGTTCCACAGGCTCCTGGAATGCCAAAGGGCCGTAATTCTGCACAGCGAGTTAGGGTGGATGCCAAATATAGTTTATGTCATCGTTCACTTTGATTAACCTATTCTCAAATTTCAGCATCGCTATACACTTCCCCTGCTACTAACACTATCCGTTTCCCCATTTATTCAACAGTGTATAAATAGCTTATAAAAGAGAAACATGTAAAGATAGTAATTCAGTACTGATGATCTCTGTCTAGTGTTGTTCTGTTCATATTTCCTCAGCAGCTCAGGAGCCTGTCAATGGGGATCATAGGTATGTATACGGATATCTCTTAATTCTCAGATTATGGAAAGAACGAGGAATTAAAGTGACACTTTACAGTTATGGCATGAAACTGTTGTCGCTATTGCTGTTTTTCACAGGTGACAATACGAGTATCAGTACAGTACAACGAAGGTGGGGAAATAGGGATTGATAAATATGGAAGGATTTGCCTGTTATGTAAAAGTGGTATAGATAATAAAATCCACTTTGTCTTTACATGACTTACTCTTGATAAACTGCAAGTAACATCCGAGTGTGTAATTTGCTCTGTATTTTGTTTACTCTGTATGTGCCTCAGAAGCATACAATACAATAAACTTCTTCTTCATCTTCTTCTTCTTCTTCAACAATCAACAATTGTAAGAAATAACGTATTGAAAAATATTGCATATCCGAATTGGTGTTATACTGCATGTAACATTCGATTGTGTAATTTACTCTTATTATTGTTTATTCTATATGTGTGCCGCTGGCCTTCTTCTCCTTCTTCTTCTTCTACAGACAGTCAAAGTATTTTATCCTCAGCCAATAGATAATAATGCCTTCAAACGCGAATGAGTTTAGCGCCTCTTAAGCATTCAGTAATATCACGGCGTGTAATCTTGATGTGGTTGGAAAGCCGAGTTGATGTAGGCATTTGATGTATACACCTTGGGTGAAACCCACGACCGGGTGCAAACTGATTACCTACCTTCACACACAGGATTCGAACCCTTGATCAGACATTTCTGACAAAATGGAGTGTTGCACCTTATACGACCTGACCTACCCATCTGTTCAGTAAAGAACATACAATCGAAATTTAAACAATGGTTCAGAAGGATCTCTACCCAAAAGGAAATTAATACTTTTATGAGCTATGTGTCGTTTTCACTGTTCAGATTTAATTGAAGTGGTCCGATTATGTGCGTGGCGAAACCCTGAATTAAAGTAATCGTACATTTCTAACTTATCAGACATCAAGATCCCGAACAAAGAGAAGATGCTGGTGAGTACATACTACTATTAAACCTTTTGATGGATTTAAGAAAACTAGCATGAGAAAGAGAGTTTTTATGGATGTCAGCTTCTTTATTGTGAGGAACACAACGTTTCTGAGTATATCCTTACTCCTTCATCAGGTGAATGAATGGTACGAGACAGAGAGCATATATATGTACATGTACAACAAAAGTAATAAGACAACAAACATAATGGCTAAACAATGGATGGCCCATAAATTTAATCCTGGCTACCAGCTGTACACTGTTCATCACCAATCAACACTAATTAACTATTACGTGTTGGTTTCCATTTATCCTTTGCCAATCACACATCAACGCCAGTAAAGTTTTGGTTTCCATTGTGTAGCCATTTATATGTGTATCACTAGTATGTATTTGATTATATGTAAAAATAGTCAATAAAACATTTCCTTTATACTTTTTTTTTCTCTCTCCTCTTTTGTCTAACGCCAGTTTGTTCAGGTACATTTTCCCATCCCCTTTGCAGGGATGGCTGACAACGTCCTCTATGACAGTTACGGTGGAGACGTGGGACAGGCAGCTAAACACCAGGGTGAGTCTATGGCATAGATTACAACAGATGGAAGTGCTAGCCTCGTGGTCAAAGTGCTGGCTCTTCAAGCCAAATACCAGGTTCGATTCCTCACCCCACCACAGGTGCAAGATTGTTTCAACATTGATAAGTAGTATCCGCCCCATCCCGTCATAATGTTGCTTGACTATTGTCAAACGGGAGTAAAACTCAACCCACTCAATTAATGTGTCATCTGAATTTATGTTTGTCTATATGTTTAACAGATAACTGAAAGCTACAAAACCCTATCATATATTACGAATTCGAACCACCGAGTTTTCACTCACTTATAGAGCCACTATTTTATGAATTTCACAAACGATGAGCAACGAGACTATGTTGGTTAAATCCTTCATGCATCATATATTCTTTTCTCCTCTCTATCTATCAGATGTCTGATGTCAGTCTCTGAACCTTGTCACCATCTTCGGGACATTGACACTGATCCATGTGTAACCATGTACTTCTGGCTCTGTGTATTTCCTATGTCTTGGTGTAGTACTTGGTACTGTCTCCGTCAGATCCCCTGGTGCTCGCTGGTAGATCTCAACCTGACAGTGTGGTTGGAGACATATATGCCATCCCGGATAAACAACGAACATCAACACTGAATGCTGAGTCCCCTGGTAGATCTCAACCTGACAGTGTGGTTGTAGACATATATGCCATCCCGGATAAACAACGAACATCAACACTGAATGGTGAGTTCCCTGGTAGATCACATCTTGACAGTGGTGTTGTAGACATATATGCCATCCCAGATAATCAACGAACATCAACACTTAATGGTGAGTCCCCTGGTAGCTCTCAACCTGACAGTGTGGTTGTAGACATATATGCCATCCCAGATAAACAACGAACATCAACACTGAATGGTGAGTCCCCTGGTAGATCTCAACCTGACAGTGTGGTTGGAGACATATATGCCATCCCAGATAAACAACGAACATCAACACTGAATGGTGAGTCCCCTGGTAGATCTCAACCTGACAGTGATTTTGTAGACATATATGCCATCCCAGATAAACAACGAACATCAACACTGAATGGTGAGTCCCCTGGTAGCTCTCAACCTGACGGTAAGGTTGTAGACATATATGCCATCCCAGATAAACAACGAACATCAACACTGAATTGTGAGTCCCCTGGTAGATCTCAACCTGACAGTGGTGTTGTAGACATATATGCCATCCCAGATAAACAACGAACATCAACACTGAATGGTGAGTCCCTGAGTAGATCACATCTTGAAAGTGGGGTTGTAGACATATATGCCATCCCAGATAAACAACGAACATCAACACTGAATTGTGAGTCCCCTGGTAGATCTCAACACTGAGGCTACTCACAAACAAAGACAAGCTTCTAAAGGAAAGACAAATACTGAATATTAATTGAATAATAATTTCCCTGGACAAGCTTTATGTCATGAAGGAATGTCTTAGAATCCTCCTTCAGTCATAAAAACTATGTCTTAAAGCAGCGCTGAAGATGTACCCGAGTTTTATAGTGTTGGATGGCTGTCTGAAGGCCTGTTGAACTGACAAGGTTGTAGTGGAGAGATAACAAGACCAGATCCAATCAGTATACCAGGAACACAATGTAAACTATATACCCAGTAAAGCTAATCTTTTGCAACAAACGTGATACTAAAGTATATCGAATTCTTTGTATATCCGTTACTAGTAATGTTTGTGTAAATTAAGTCGACTTCTTCCTCGTAGAGGGGGCAGCTGCAGGTGATGTATATAGCGTGGTACAGAAACAACCCAAGTCCGAAGGTGAAACAATGCAACTCCAGTCAACGGACAAAGATGGTAAGTCAGGTCGTGTGTGTGTGAGTGAGGTCGTGAGTGATGTGTTGTGTGATGTCGTGAGTGAATGAGGTCGTGAGTGAGTGAGTGTGGTTGCACTTTGTTTTCAACAATATTCCATCTGAACAAAATCGGGCTGAGTGAGTGAGCTTTGATTGATGTGCGCAGTCTAGTAACATTCTAGCTATCTCACAGAGCATTATGTTAGTTATATCACAGAGCATTATGTCAGTTACATCACAGGACTCAATAATAGTTACATCCGAGGACATTATGTCAGTTATATCACAGAGCATTATGGTAGTTATACCACAGAATATTATGTCAGTTACATCACAGGGCATGATGTAATTTATATCACAGAACCTTATATCAGTTATATTAATGGACATTATGTCAGTTATATCACACGACACTATGTCAGTTATATCACAGAGCATTATGTCATTTACATCACAGTTCATTATGTAATTTATATCACAGAACATTATATCAGTTATATTAATAGACATTATGTCAGTTATATCACAATATATTATGTCAGTTACATCACAGGACATTATGTAATTTATATCACAGAACATTATATCAGTTAAATTAATTGACAGTATGTCAGTTATATTAATGGACATTATGTACTTTATATCAGAGAACATTATATCAGTTATATTAGAGGACATTATGTCAGTTATATTAATGGACATTATGTCAGATATATCACAGAGTATTATGTGAGTTACATCAGAGGACATTATGTAATTTATATCACAGAGCATTATATCAGTTATATTAATGGACATTATGTCAGTTATATCACAGAGCATTCCGTCAGTTATATCACAGAGTATTATGTCAGTTACATGACAGGACATTATTTCAGTTATGTCACAGAACATATGTCAGTTATATCACAGGGCATTATGGTAGTTATATCACAGAGTATTATATCAGTTATATCACTGTACGCTATGTCCGTTACATCACATGGCATTATGTCAGTTATATTACATGACATGACATTATGTGAGTTATTTCACAGGACCCCATGTCTGTTATATCACGGGGCATTATGTCAGCTAGGGCACAGGGCAGTTGACTCAGAGATTACATTGGTTCTTCGCGAGAGTAGTTTTCACATTTGGCATGTGGTATTCTAGTTTACTACCCGAGTGACCCCGGATTAGAACACGTCCTACGTAAGCCATGTTTATCATATGAAGCGACATCATAGATCCGGAGGCCTGAGAAGATCTGTCTGCCATTTTACAGCTGGCGTTTACAGCAAACAAAAGCACTTGTGTTCACCAGCTACTGGCTGCACACATTGTTCGAATCCCGAGTCTGTGTGTCGAACAATGTCGTTTCTAAGGATTGTTCGGAACTTCACAGTACAATAGGTGCATGGAATACAATGGAATCGCGAAATGTCTGTAACTTCATTCTGCCACATGTTTGTATTCATACTTTTGTTTTATAGCTGAGATGTCCGAGCTGTACAGCCAGGTTCAGAAGCCCCAGAAGAACGGGAAGTGAGACACGAGTTGAAGACATACGGCCATGTCCCATACAGTGGAGTACCTTTGTAGACTATACATGTGATGTATCATTTCAAAAGTTGATCCTTGTCGTCCGGGTCTTTCAACACCACGTGATCAGACAAAAAAAGCAAATGATTATTGAAACTTTCTACTTAAAACATGACGAGAGAAACGTTTTAATACATATTTTGTAAAAAAACTGTCCATAGATAACCCTATATTTATTGTTTCAATGTTTCTGGTACAGTTCTAGTCATTTTGTTAACACTCTGTCGTATGCTACACGTATTGATGTCAGTTTGTTATCTCTTTGCTGTATGCTAGACACAGTAATGTCATTTTTATAATACTTTGCTGCTGGACGTAGTAGTGTCATTTTGTTAACTCTTTGCTGTATACTAGACGTAGTATTGTCATTTTGTTGACACTTTGCTGTTTGCTAAACGTAGTATTGTCATTTTGTTGACACTTTGCTGTATACTAGACGTGGTATTATCATTTTGTTGACACTTTGCTGTTTGCTAAACGTAGTATCGTCATTTTGTTGACACTTTGCTGTATACTAGACGTGGTATTATCATTTTGTTGACACTTTGCTGTTTGCTAAACGTAGTATTATCATTTTGTTGACACTTTGCTGTATACTAGACGTAGTATTATCATTTTGTTGACACTTTGCTGTTTACTAAACGTAGCATTGTCATTTTGTTGACACTTTGCTGTTTATACTAGACGTATTGTTATCATTTTGTTGACACTTTGCTGTTTTCTAAACGTAGTATTGTCATTTTGTTGACACTTTGCTGTATGCTATCATTTTGTTGACACTTTGCTGTATACTAGGCGTAGTATTGTCATTTTGTTGACACTTTGCTGTTTCCTAAACGTAGTATTGCCATTTTGTTGACCTTTTGCTGTTTGCTAAACGTAGTGTTATCATTTTGTTGACACTTTGCTGTTTGTTATCATTTTGTTGACACTTTGCTGTATGTTAGACATAGTATTGTCATTTTGTTGACACTTTGCTGTTTCCTAAACGTAGTATTATCATTTTGTTGACACTTTGCTGTTTGCTAAACGTAGTATTATCATTTTGTTGACACTTTGATGTTTGCTATCATTTTGTTGACACTTTGCTGTATGTTAGACATAGTATTATCATTTTGTTGACACTTTGCTGTTTGCTATCATTTTGTTGACACTTTGCTGTATACTAGACGTAGTATTGTCATTTTGGTGACACTTTGCTGTTTGCTAAACGTGGTATTGTCATTTTGTTGACACTTTGCTGTATACTAGACGTAGTATTGTCATTTTGTTGACACTTTGCTGTTTGCTAAACGTGGTATTGTCATTTTGTTGACACTTTGCTGTTTACTATCATTTTGTTGACACTTTGCTGTATACTAGACGTAGCATTGTCATTTTGTTGACAGTTTGCTCTGTGCTTGACTGAGTATTGTCATTTTGTTTGAACTTTGCTGTTTGCTACACTTAGTAATATCATTTTGTTTTGTTTTGCTGTATATATACTAGACTGATGTATACGTACTCATACATTGCCGATTCTGCGCCTATAACTGTTTTGATCAACTGCGGTATTTGAAAAAACTTGAATCAGTTCTTCTGAGATGCCTAAATGCACTTCCTGGCGGCCCTACAGAACAATAAATGATTTCTCAGTGAAAAACAGTTTAGTTTATATTGTGATGTCCAAGACGAGGAAAACTAATGTATCGAGGAATTGTGCTATTTCCTTTCTGCCCAATACTTGATAACAAATGTGTCTATGGATGTTAGTGACTGGTCAGAAAATGGACCACGTTGGCTGTCACCTTTTTATTACACTGATTCTGTTTGCCTACTGTCTTCTGTTTATCCCGATGCTCTCTGATATTGGCAGTTATGGTCTGATCATATATTGCTTCCTCACCAGCGATTTTACTCAGTGTTTTATTTGGTTAGACGACTCGTGAAAGTCCGGGTTAGAATCGATCTTCAGCAACCCATGCATGTCGTAAAAGGCGACTCGCTGATTTGGTTGACACATGTCATCGTACCCAAATTGTGTAGATCGATGCTCATGCTGTTGATCAGTGGACTGTCTGGCCCAGACTCGATTATTTACAGACCGACACCATATGGCTGGAATGTTGCTGAGCACGGTGTTAAACAACAACCAAACCAAACCAAACCAAACCAAGTTTGGTTCGACAGTTTTCACATTCTCCAAGGCTTCACCACTCCGAGATTCCAGAACGTCTCGTGCAGCAGAATGAGTAAATATTCAGCAACCGAATTTCCTGTCGTGTTGGCTGGGGCCTGGTAATATATTGGCTTGGGATGACAAGTAAATGATCAACAACGCCAGAGATGAATGGTGGAATTCCACCATAAATGTAAGGAAAGTCTCATAGATGATAGACTGAAAGAAATCCAACAGGCAGCGGAAATGGACTTACATGAATATTTTAAGCTTACACAAAGTTTAAACGAGCTACAGGTCTAGTAACCAGTGTAGTATACAAAAATCATGCAGGCAATAATGCAGAAAATATCTGTGACACTTTTGGTCAATACTTCAAGGATCTATCTGTACCAAACATGGAAAGTAGCTTTGATAATCACTTTGCTAAAGAAATATGTAAATAGAAAATATCAAATATTGAATGTTTTGAGGAAAGTAAAAATATATGTGAAGGAGACATGTATTCTCCGCTGAATGAACTGTTCACTCTCAGTGAGATTATAGCCATCGTCCAAAGATTAAAAAATATCAAAGCCCCAGGGTCCGATGGATTCGCTAACAAACATGTCAACTATGCAGGTAGATCTTTAATCAAACATATCATCATATTGTTCAACAGTATCATCACATACGAGTATATTCCACAAGCTTTTAATGTTGGCCACATTCTGCCCCTGGCCACGGTAAAAGTAAAGCTGTCCTCTCCAACTACAGAGGATAAACATTAACGTCGATTCTCAGTAAACTGTTTGAAAGATTGCTCCTTAACATAATTGAAAAGTGGACAGCTGCAAATATAACGTTTCCCCACAACTTCCAATTTGGCTTTAGAAAAGACTTCAGTGCTGAGACAGCAGCTCTTACATTTGTAGAAAGTAGTGTATACTATACGTATATGCTTGAGTCATATCAACACTGCTATGTGCTCTACGGAGAGAACAAAACTTGTCTGTGGAAAGCTAATACAAGATACAGCTTTAAACAAATGCTTTTAGCCCGCCTTGGCCAATACCACTGTAATGAATCGCTGATATACAAGAATAAGTTTGATATGAAATCACCTGTTTTTAACATGTTACAGCTTGTTTCCAAATACAATCTGCTTAGTGAAATCCGTAACTACATTTGTGATTCTAAGTTTATGAAGAAAAGTGCTTGGTCGCAAATAGTCAAAGATAAGGTAACTACATATGATCAAATGCAGTTGGCAAATGTACCTCAGACAAGGTTTGATGATGGTAAGGTGGGGGGTTCTGCCCCACATGAACGATGGAGCCGAGCTAGTTATAGAAACACATCATGACAAGGTGTGGTGCAATACACGAGGCTATTTTTAGAAATGATTTCCCCCAGTCTAAAGATAGCGAGAGCTGGCTTGTGACTATGATTAGGGAGCCGACTTGTAATCCAGCATTCATCCATAATATATTGTTTAATGACCATATTCAAGCACGGAGACAGGGCTTGTTTGTAAATTAGAATAACGATACAGTCCGGATGGGAGTGAGATTGTCATAGACCGAACGTGATTGTATGTATCTAAACAGGAAAACTCCCTCTCAAGTTGTTGGGGGGCAGTACTTAACATCTTAAAAGAGATATCAACGTATGGACTGTTATATTTCAGTGTACAATACATAGGAAAGTCTATACATAAATCAACTTCATACATCTTTTCATACCAAGTATGTATTAAGTGGAATGCAACGGTGAGAGGAACTAGCTCACACATACAGCGAGACGAGGTAGAGTCACCTGTGTAAACAAACCGTTACAGACCTTACACAACAGTACTGCTCGCGGCGTACGGTGAGATCGAAACAAGGTCACACAGTCGGCCAGTCATAGCCTGTGTAAACCGATCTCTTCTGAAGGAAACATGGTTTCTTATTAAAACATATGCAATTTATTTTTATATCATTTCTCCTACAACCATGCCCGTGGAAGGATGGAAAGAGTATTTGTCCAGCATTTACTTTAATCCCAAACATCCAGCCTCCTTCTCAGGTTCAACTAAGTTATATCACGTGGTGAAAAAAGAAGGGAAATTTGACATCAGCTAACATCACATCAAGAAGTGGCTCGCTTCTCAAGATGTTTATTCACTTCAGCGACCTCTTAGATACAAGTTCAAGCGGAACAGAGTGATCTCAACTGGTTTGAACGATCCGTGGGATATTGACTTGGCCGATGTTTCGAATATAGCTTCGGATAATGACGGTGTGAAATACATATTCATAGCTATCAATGTATTCACACGATTACTATGGGCGGAAACCCTTAAAAATAAAACACCAGACGCAGTCCTTAAGGCCACGAAGAAGATATTTGCTCGTGCTACTCTTCCACACATTATCAGATCCGACAAAGGTCGGGACTTTGATAACAAGAAAGTGAGATCATATTTAGCAAACAAGGGTTTTACCGCAATTACCACCCCTGCCGCATAACTCAACGTATAAGCAACAGCGAAACCACAATCAATTCAATGATAAAGAACATTTCAAATTTACCATCCCCTCTAATGCAGTTGTCGTGGGCCCTACTGGCAGAGGCAAATCGATGTTTGTCTACAACCTTCTCACGCATGGAAGTATACAGCCAGCACCTAATCACATTGTCTGGTGCTTCACCCAATGGCAGCCCCTGTACCAGGTGATCAGTGAACAGTTGCCCCATGTGAAGTTTGTGAAAGGAATTCCCTACGATGTACTCGACGATACCCACTTGGATGCCAGAAATAACAACATGATGGTGTTGGATGACATGATGTCTGAAGCTAAGGATGACAAACGCATTTCTCAGCTATTTACTCGAACCTCTCATCACAAGAATGTCATTATCTTCCTATTTTCACAAAATCTGTTTCCACGAGGGAAACAGTCACGTGACATAGCTCTGAATTCTCACTATGTGACTGTATTCAACTCACCTATAGATAGATTACAAGTTCAACTGTTTGCCAGACGTATCTACCCCAACAATGTAGATAGGTTTATGTCAGTCTATGAGGCAGCTGTCCAAAAACTCTATGGCAATCTGACTGTTGATCTACGACCTACCACTCTTGAATTAGAGAGATTACAACCTAATATACTAACTAATGCTGACATACCCTCGACCTCAAGGATAATAAAATACCTACCAAATCCCCCACCAGAATCAAGACAGATGGAGGCAGGTAGCACATCTATAAAAGAGGAGCAACCTGAACCACCTAATCATTTGACCCCAGACACTCAGAGAGATAACATCTCCA